ACTGATAAAGCATATACATTTTATTCTTCAGTTTGCTATTTAAATAGATGCATGACTAACTATTCCCTTAACCAAGCAGACAGAATTAATCCTCTGCAACTTGGAGTCTGACCTACAAAGGATAAGGAGAAAAACATGCAAGCCAATGATTAAACAAATACATAAACTGCAGATCACATTTGAAGAAGCACAAGGGAAGCAGCAAGTTACTCACCATACTGCTTTAATATGCCTATCATTTCAGTCTATCTTCTTCCCATACAATTATAATGTGTGAAAATTAAAGTATGATCCACAATTCATCTACATAAAGGGTATTTGACTACTGAAGGGAAAGAAGGAAGACAGTGGAAATAATATTCTGGGAAAGCTCGAGTTCATTAGCCGCATTTCTAGATGGATACAACACACTATTTTGAATCCCAGCTATTTATTGCACTTGGTTATCTCTGTATTGCTGTCAGTTCCAAGGCGGCTCAGAAACACAGTACAGGATCCCAACCCTAACCCGACCCTAAACATTAACACAGGCCTTCACAATTAGACTCCAACATGATCGGGACTGTAAAGAAGTAGGACATACATATTCAACAAGTCCAATACTTTTCACCACCACCTCTTGTCTTCATAGGACGCCACAAAGTCACCATGCTATCTCTAGCCCATGCTAAACCAGCCAGCATCAAGAAGGAAGTACGAGGAGACCGGAGTCTTAATATCAGCCCAAGTCTGGGATGGCTTATTAGCTTTGACTTTTACATTCCAAATCCAAACTGGTTCTAGGAACAAGCACAACTGAATTCAAACAACGCTGAGTGAACAATATTAATAAAACTGCCAGGCACAAAATCAGACACAAACAGAGCCAGCTGAGAGCATTTGCTGCACAATGAGCCTAAAATCTTCCTGAAAGATAAATTAAAGATTTATTTCTAAACGTTATTTACACTGAGATCTAGAAGAACTCCTTTCTCACTTGTTAGCTGAATATTTGAACATGTAAAGGAGGTCCAATATCAGAAAACACAACTTTAGTCCTGAAAAAACAAACATACTTTATCATTTCTTGGCCAATGACCAAACTTATGTCCAGGTAGGACACATGAATAGATGTATTTTGGCCACTGATTTGAAAAGATTAATGCATCCTACCTGCAGGATAAAAACATACAGGAGAAAAAAAAAAAAAGAAACAATGGGATACGTTTCACCACGTCTTGACTACATCAGTTCTCCTGAACAATAAAAAAAAAAAATCTTATCTCGATAACCTTTGCTGGAAACGACCAAAGAAAACAAAGGTAAATTATCAGTAGTTATATTCTCTTCAATCTGCAGGATTAACAAGATGCAATTCAGAAAGCCACGCCATGCTTACACAGTTGAAATACTATGAATTTCAGAAATTAGAAACTTCTAGTCATTCAAGTTCACCCTCTGAATTCTTCTCGCGCCAGAACCAATTTTGGGATGCTGCACTGAGACTGAGGAAATCTAGCAAAACACTGTAAAAGAACAGAACTCAACAGGAAACAAATATAGAAAACAGGAATCAAACAACAACAACAAAAAAATCTCATAATAAACAAAAGAAAATAATCAAAACAATGTAAGCATTTAAACACAGATTAAAAACATTTTCTATTTTTTTAAAAGTTAATCTTTTAATCAGAAACTATATCGATTTCAGAAATGCTAGAAGCAACTAGGAGTATAATACAAGATCTATACGCTGTTGTGTATAGGAACAGATAGGAAGAATTACACAACAGAAACACAGAGACATTAAAGAATGGCCCTGACAAACTCAACCTCAGTTCATATCCACTCAATCTGAAAGGGAGATCTGGAACAACTGGAATACAAAACCACAGGGAGAAAGAATACTAGCAGCCCTGACAGTCCTTCGGAGGAATGCAGATAAGACTGATATTTTCTGTGGCACTTTAAGGCTATATATACACAACCTCTAATTACCAATTACCATTCTCCTTTCCTTCTCAGTTAGGGAAAGTGTAACCAAACATTTTTCCCACAAGCCTCTACTACTTCTTTCCATACAAATTATTTTATCTTAATAAATTTTTCATCTGAAACATTCAATTTATTTTAATCATCAAGAAACTAAAGTCCTCTTTCTTCTCAACATTATAAATAAAATAAATGAAATCACCAACAAAAGGCTGTCCAATACAGTAACTGGTCAAACAATACAATAAATGGTCTCTTCACATTTCAGTTCTCTCATTTAATGTCTGGTGAATCCTGATTTATTTATTTTTTTTTTAAACTCCCAGACACTTAAACACAAATTTGGTTAACTTCAAGCAGATGTATGTAGCACTAGGAATCCACGTCATCTTGTTCTACTTCCTAGAATTCAAGCTTTTCTGATTTTTGATTCCGAAGCCTAATAGTGTGGGTAAGAAAAGTTGGGAGTTCACAGTGGTTCAATCATCTCTCACTGCTTTGTGTAGTTTATCACTGCTGTTTCACCTGTCACTATGAAATGTCTTTACAAGTAGTTGAGAAAACTGGACAGAGACCTGATATTGAACCTTCTGAACACTGAAATATTGATAACACCTACAGAGAACATGACAACGCAGGCCATTGGAACGCTGTACAGTTACACCTAAGATGGTAGCAAAGGAGGAATAACATCACTACACCAGCACAAAATCCCCACCATCTTAGCTTACTGCCAATTCAAAGCAAGCTGTTCATCACTTCAAAACTGGTTCCTCTGCATTCATATGGATTTTCAGCAGCTGCAACAGATCTTCACAGAGATTGACGGTTCTGTCAGTGGGACTCAACTGTCCAAATATTCCAAAAAGGAATTCTGTACTTTATACAGAATACAAAGTAAAATATCAGAGAAAACCTATGTATTTTGCAACAAAAAGTTTAGTTGCTGTGTACATAATACCAGACTGAGGGACAGAGGCATGAAAACACACTTCCCTGTTGCCTTGAAGCAAAACTTTGTAATCTGTTAGGTGTCACAGCTGCCAGCTGAATGCAATTCAAAAACCACACTAGCACACAAATATTTACATATCTATTATAAAACAATAAGAATACAACAGACGGCACAACAACAAGAAAAATCTTACCTGCTGTCGTTGATTTTCCAACTCCCCCTTTGCCAGAAGCTACGACCAACACCTGCTTAACTCCTTCTATAGGCTTTTGTTTGGGCAGCCCCCGTGACAGGATCCGAGCACGTTTGTCTTGTAGAACCTCATCCCTGGAGCCTGAGGACTAATTATAAAAAAAAATGGTACAGAGCAGTTGTGGTATCAGCACTGTTTGCAGAAAAAGTGAACAAGTACAGACCAACCTGTGCTGAGACAACCTTGTTACTGCTCCTACAAATCTTGTTGCTCTCCTACGGCAACCTGCCTCACACTCAGCATCACTTGAAGGAATGGGGCCTACTCAGCACTGACTCTGGGGATATTTTGTTTAGATGCAGTTAAATGTGATTAGTCTCAGGCCTCAAAAAAGAACCAAGGCCTCCAGTAAAATAAATCAAAACCCCTTTGCTAATTTGGAGACTGTTAAAAATCACCTTCAGGTTACTTGATTTGCAAAATTCTCAGTGGAATCATCAGGATTACAAATGAAACCTTTTGCCATCGCTTTTCCTGAATACCTCAGCAGCTAAAGTCAAGGCTGCATATCAACTTTTACTAGCTTTAACGTTATCGCAATTAATACACACGGTGACCATCAGCTGTTTGTATTTTCAGCACTGTATCATCAAAACGAGAGCTCCAGCTTCCTAGCTGCCCGTCACTGAGGCAGAGCGACCTAGGGGCGGCAGAAGTACAACAGACGCAGCTGAAAGCACGGGCAAAGCAGCACCAAGTGCAGACGAGCCCGCCAAGCCCCTACTGCCTTCCTGCAGCGCACTCGAGCCGCTTATCCACAGCGCGCCCGGGTAGCTGAGGGCAGGCACGCAGCAGCTCCTCTGCGCCCCAGGGACCGGGGCGTGGAGCAGCGCAGAGGAGTGAGCATCTCAGAGGGCAGCACCCCGCTCACCACACGGTGGTCAAGTTTTGTAGACGGTGAGCAATCAGGCGTTACGCCTACAGAACGAAAGAGGGTCCAGGAGAGAGAGAGAGACCCCTCTTCCTTCCCTCGGTCCGCCGGCTAGCCTGCCCGCGCCGTTAAAGCCCCACGGCTAACACAGCCCTAAATGTAGCTCCCCTACGGAGGCTACTTCGGAGCAACTTCGATGCAGATTCTGAAACAGCTGCTCAGGAACCGAGCCGAGAACTCGTCTGATCCCCGCACCCCGAGGCTCGCGAGGACCCGCTCCCCTCCCGCACCGCCCCGGCGGGCAGCTCCCGCCTCACCCACCGCGGAGCCGGACGACGAAGCGGCGCGAGCTCCGCTGCTCAGAGGGCGCCGCAGCACCGCCGGCGCCCCGCCGCCGCGGCCGGAGAATGGAGCGACGCGCAGCACCCAGCGCCAAGCGACGGCCCCCATCGCTGCCTCCCGCCGGGCGCGCTGAAATGGCGCCGCCGCCACTCGGCCCGCCCCCTGCGCTGCGCCGGGCCGCGCCGTTGCCCCACGTACTTCCACAGCGTTCGACCGCCGGCGGCCCCTGGAGCTGGTCTGTACGCCCTCACCGCGTCCGAGCCAGCCGGGACAGCGGAGTCCTGAGGGCTTTTCAGGCGTGGCTGCAAACGGGAAGCGGGGAGCGCCGCTTGGGACTGGTGGCCGCGAGGAGGCCGCGGTTCTCGTGTGGGCACGGGCACGGCGCGGGCCGCCCGCCTTGCGCACGGCGACGAGACTCGCCCCGGCCTTCAGTGTGCTTGGGCGCATCGTGGCCCTGCGTGGTTTGGTCGGCTGCAGATATAACAGATGTATTCCATTTCATCCTCTGAGTCATCAGTTCAGAGAACCCGTGGCCAGGTCCCGTGCCTCTTATCGATATATATATATATATATATATATATATATAAAGTGCAATTCAAATTGTTCTAAGTAGAGTGCCTTATGTCATGTGAGTGTCATTTGAAGCATTCAGGCATGCGCCACTAAACCACCATGAGGCCTGTGGCAGTGTTGTGGGAGGAATTCAGAGCCTTCTGACATGATTTATTCCAGACAATCCCATGTATAGCCCGTTTATCCAGGCAGTAATACTGAAGTACTTCAGACCTTGGCAGTGTCTGGCCCTTAGTTTTCAAAGGTAAAACACAGCGTAGATAGTGCCCTTTGTTGGCATCTGCTGTAGTGTGTAATGGATCAGGGATTTTATATCCGTTTGAAGTGTTATAATAAACATTGCCCCTTTTTCACATTGAGACTTTTCACCACTCATTTAATATTATTTTTGATTCATATTATTAAAAGCCCTAATCAGACATTTTGCTCAAAGCCACCATTTTCAAAGGCTTATTCCAGTGCTCAGCTGCCAGAGAAAAATTAGAGATAAAAATGCAACTTTTGCTTTCCTTCAAGTGATGCTCATTCAGTCTCTTGTTCTTGCTGTAACCATTTAAGCATATTTTGCACAGAGCGCACAGACAGGTGAAGAGGTCAAATAGTTTCCCAGTAATTCACCCTACCAAGAAACCAAAATGCAGAAGAATGCTGACAACCAACGAGCCATTTAATTCAAAAACTGTATTAGAAATCTCCCTCAAGGGCCTATTCTTCACTGCCCCAGGAAACTGTTACCTTTTTCCTTGCAAGAAATTTGCATTATTCATTTTTCTACCTTGAGCGGTTAGAGGCAGTGTTAAAGTGCAGAACACACATCACAGAAACAAAATGGGCAATGCAGGATTGGTAGTAGGTGTGCAGAACTGGTTTCAACATTTTTAAGGTAATTTTAATAGCAATAGGGAAGCTACTATGGCACTAGGGTGTACTGAATAAGTAGAATTTGTACTGATAAGTAGAATACCACTAAAACACGAGTCCAGGAAAATGCATCCAAAAATTAACAAAGATCTTGCTGCCTGATGGAAATCATGGGCGATCTGTGCTTTTCAGCAAATAATGGATTTCTCAATTGTTCAACAAAATGAAAACCACAATATTTAATGTTTATGCAAATTATAACCTTTTCTTGAAGTGTAAGAAAGCATTTTAAAGACTTTGGATTAGTAGACAGCCATAACGCTCAAATGATAAAAATGTAATTGATTTATGTCTGAAATTACGTTGTCTTGTATTTACATGTATTTTTCCTCCACCCAAAATCAATAAAGGGCATGTAGGTCTATCTAGGAGAGCTTTGCTGACAAATGACTCCAAATTTTAAAAACTAATGTGTGAAAAATGACTTATTAGGTAATTAGGTTGATTTTGTGCAATAGGGAATAAGCAGTTGAGAATGTATTACCAGGACTGCAACCCTTTCAGCGCTGAAGAAGCCCTGTATCTCCATTACTATTTCTGGATGCCTGCCTAGTATTAATAATACAGGAGGTTAAGGGCATGCTGCAAACTCTGAACTCACTTGGACCATTCGTTTTGGTCACAAATTAGGCAAACAATCACATTAAAGACAGGTTAATAGCCCTTCAGTTGTAAATACACACTGTAAAATGTTCCTCACAGCTTTGGGGTTGTTTCAGCTCTAGGACTTTTGTGGCAGAAGTTTGCTGTAGCACATTTAAGATGAAGAAGGCTAAAATGTTTTTTTTTTCCTTTTTGTCCTCGTAGGGATAATTACATGGCCCATAAAGAAAGGAAGCCTAAGGTAAGTTTGAGGCAAGTTATCAAAGCTCACATGGTACTATATAATTAAGAAATATAGATGAATATATTAAATGATTAGATAACTTTCCATATAAGCTACAAGGCCCTAAAAAAAGAGTTGTGGAAGTTGCTGAACTTCTGGAGAAGCCAGGAAAAGCAATCCTCTCAATTCCCTTTTATATCTGCTTCCATCCAAGCCCAAAAGTGTGGTAGACCAAGTAGGGCACCTGGGGTTATTTCATCCCCTTTTTACCATGCTACCTTAAGTCAGAGCAGTTGTTGTCGAGCATTATTATAAAGCTAAGCCTAGTTTGAAATAAATGGCAATCCCCCATGTCTGCTTCTGCTGTCATTTAACAGCTGCTGGTGCAGAAACCCTTGCTGCTCTGCCTTCATTTCTGAGCCCATTTCTGATCTCACTACTAGTGGCTCTTGGCTCAACTGTTAGTATGGCTGTCACCTCCTCCCTTCAGAAGCTCTAAGATCAAGCTGCAGCTCAGCTGCCCTTTTGTCACTTGCTGATGCTCTAGCATTTTCCCTTGGGACAGATGAGACAAACTGGATCAAGCTGTTAAAAAAAAAAAAAACCCAACTACCAACACGGGTTCTTCGTGTGATCTTTGCTGTGCTCCTCATACAAATTACAGCAACTCCATAGTTTGGTAATTTATTTAATAGCAAGCCATGGGATCTCATCTAGTCTTGGAATGTTTGAGGATGCTCCTTTATTGCAATTTTATGATTTTTGTTATCATTGCTCCACATCATTATATCACATAGCACACTGGGAGTCTCAGAAGAGAAGAAATGTCCTACAGCTCCCAGAAGACTCTGCTATTCTGTTTCCCTTTTCCAGTCCAAGAGAAAGATAAGACTGACTGAAAGTCACAAGACTGTTTGCTCCCTGGTGGATCAGAGTAAAAACTTCAGTTATCAGAAACTCTCTCATTTTATTTAATAGCATCAATACTAATTAACTTGCATTTCTGCTATTATAATTAGTAAATTCATTTCCCTCCTGAGATCATTGCTGCCCACTTGTTTTTTTTTCTTACTGTTTTTGTTCCCTTCCTCTCCCCTCTCCTTTTTTGGGCTGTTAGGCCTGCTGTTCCCCATCACAGACAGACAGATCTAGAGATAACCATGACATCTTTGTGTCTCACACTATTGCCCTTGTTTCATTATAACAATTTCAATTCTTGCTTCATCTTCCTGCCAGGCTTGGATGTTAAGGGCCTGCACCCCTGATGGTGAGGCATTTCTGCCCTTTTGTTGCAAAGTTCATTTGGCCCAAGGGATTGTAAAAATCTGTATAAAACAAGATTTTCGTGTGGTGTCACACAAAATATCATAATACATGGCAATACTTGAAACTGTAACATTAACAAGCACAAGAAATCACAGAAAACACAGTAGTAACATACATTTTTCTTTATAATGTATATTAATATTTCCATTAAGACCACAAAAGTAGCTTCATTGTATGCAAACACTTTTCTAGACCTTAAACTGAGAAATTAAGTTCTCTGCTTTAGTCCTGTTTTACTAAATGACAACAAAGGCCTGGCAGGATTGAACCCAATTTAGTTTGTATATTGCTTTTGTGTGGATGCTATGATCCTATGATCTGTGCAGACCTTCACAGTCAAGACGACAATCTTTTTTAAACTATTGCTCAATTTTTCTGAAGTCAGTCATCAAGTTCTTCAGGTACATATCATGTACTACAGTAGCAATCACATCACAGTGAAAACAGCTGATAATACAGCAGTTTTTCCAGTCTTAAGCAAGTAGTGCAGAAAATGAGAGATTTGTTTTGTTGAATACACCCTTCAGTAACAAAGATACATAATTACTTTCTTAGGTACACAAGATATGTATTCCTTGCATGAATATAACCAACTCACTCCAATTAATGGTCTTTTTGTACTTATAAGCTTTGATTTTTTTCTTTAAAACTTCCCTATTCTTTGCCGTATGTGCTACAACCACTGAAGGGTGGAAATACCTTCTCTTCCAACAGCACGTAAATTGTAATTCCAGTGGTGGAAGGAATCTTTTTTTTGCATTTGACATAATACAGATGCAGAATTAAGATCTTCACTGCCACAAAAGCTTCATTAAACCATTTGACAGCACCGGTTTGAGTAATTATGGCATTCAGGCACAATTTCAATTTGTGAAATCATTTCAATTCTGTTCTTCATTCATTTGTTCAGTAATGAATTTATGTTTTACAGGAAGTGTTTTTGTTAGCATCAGAACCTGGAGCATAAGTGAGTTTTGTACAGCAAATTAATCTAATTTGAACAATGAGACTAATTGAGAAACAACACCAACAGTGCATTTTGTATTTACTAATTATTTAAAAAATCTGTCTCACATTCCAAACCAATTCACTTTTGCTCTGTGGCCATAAAATACTTCTCTTGTAATTTCTAGTACATGAACAGTGCTTATCACCAAAGACATCAATGGGAACTGATGTTCTTTGGCTGTATATGGACCACTTACCCAATTTTGCCAGCAGCAGCATCTTCCAGATTGATCCCTGCATGCTGAAACAACCTCAGATGAAAATAAACGTGATCCAAGAACACTTTGTACAAGTACTACATATAAAACCATAGCAGTCCAAAACTGTGAAGGCAGAACAGCAGATTATCGGAATGCTTATTTCTCCAGTTAACCCACCACTGTGAAGGAAAGTAACTCTTCATGGTTTTAGGTGGGACCAGAAGCAGATTCGTGAATTTAATCTAAAGTTCTTGATCTTTGATCTTCTATGCCAAAGTGTAAAAAGAAAAAAGTGCCTAAGTGTCTCAGATTTTTATTTATGCTAACATCTAATGCCAAACAGCATGTTTCTTTAGACAGAACAGAGGAAGATGGGCATGTTTATAACCATCTTCTCCTTTATATAAAGCATAGGCCAAGGAAAATATAGCCTCAACTAGAGTACCTTTGAAGTCTAACACAGACAAGAAGTTGAGCAAGTTCCTCCTCATTGAGAAAATAAACTTTTGTTTTCTTTTCCACCCCAGCTCTCTGAACATGAAGAGGGACTCAGTTAACAGCTTCCTACAACAAAGTACCTGTGTAATTGCTTCAGATGTAGACAATTTTCTAGTGAATCATGCATGAATGCTCATGGCCAATAAGTATCAAAACTGATATCTAAAAATCAGCTCTCAAAGAAATAAATGTAATGTATGTTCTTCTAATTACTGCCACTAAAGGACTAGACTGTACCCTTTGTAATACCAATTTAATCAAAAATTGAAATGAGGAAATATAACTATTACAGGAAAATACAAAGTTGTTTTTCTGACACTGAGTGATTGTTTAATTCACTGCTTGGCTTATTAGCTCACACTTAGGAATTCAGAAAGCCATTTTGAGAAAAGAACTTTCATTGGCTCTGTTACCTACTGAGTCATGGTCATACCTGCAGTCATGGATAATAGGTATTTAAAGGAAAGCAATGTCAATTACAGAATTCTATTTCTTTACTTAGGCACTTAAACTAGGTGCATATTTATATTCACTCCACATGACAGTTTTCCAGCACTAATCAAAACTTTCACTAAATTTTAAAGTAAATTTTGCATTTTTAATGTCTCATATGTGGGTATCTACATATGGATCCAATGGCAGAGCATGCAGACCACTAAAATGTCTATTATTACAGATGTTATCACTGTCCCTAACACATTTAACATTCTGTCCATTACAATGCTTGGACTTCATTTATTTGAGTTGTTGAGTAGCAAGCAGTATCCTCCAGTAGTATATTTTGAATTACGTTATGCGATCTGACCTTTTGGAATAGAACATCTTTCCTTTTTTTCCCCTCTCATATCTAAGAATATTGCTAAAATAACATTTGTCTTAGAGACAAGGTGCTGCTGATTCAGTAGAACTGGACATGGTGAAACCTCGTCTCAAATCCTACTGATCTCCCATATACAAGATTAATTTAGACCAATAGTAGTAGACTAGTGAAGAGAAAAGCTGCTGTGGTAATGAGGAATTGAAATCCTATCATAAGAGGCCTACCATATAAATGCAAAAAAAAAGACAGATTTTTTCGTTTAGTAGAGCAAACTCCGGAATATTATCTAATTACTAATTTTTTTAGATGCAAGTTAACCCTGGCCAAAAGTACGATAAGAACCATTAAAAGCAGAAATGAATTAGCATCCAAGGATATTTCTTGCAATTAATGAACTTCCTAGATGTAGCTTAGACATTTAACTGAAGTTGAGCTGAGTTGTTCTTTAAGCTTCAAAGCATAATAGATGTATTTTCTCCAACAGTAGCTAAAACACATTTTACGTTGGGCACCAAAACAAAGTTGTTTTAATGCAGACATGAATCTCATTTAAACTGTCACTTTGAAAACTATTATTTTTTGCCCTATAAGTATTAGAGTATCCAGGGAAGAATTAAATATCTTTAACTAATACTAAAATACTCCAAGTTACCACTAATTGTTTTACCCACTTATTCTTATACTTTTATATACAATTTTTTGAAATTGCTGGATGGTTATCTGTGGGGAGAAAAAAGCACTTCTAAAAAATTAACAAATACAATTTTTTCCATCCTGTTAGAACATCTAATATTGAAGATAGAGGGTTTTTTCCACCTTCTAGCAGCAATTCAGCATTATTGTAAAAGAAAGCACGACTCTTCAGCAGCTGAAAAAAATTAAAGATTATATGAAAAATATCCCTCTTATCATTGCAATGCTTTTGAGGTATCATGTATCACTGTAAAGAAATCATCTCACTCCCAATGAGTTCAGAAACATTCACTGCAAAAAGTCAACGCTTTAAGAAAGCATTAAAATTAAATATTAACAACTGGTTACACTGGAAGTTCTTTGAGATATGTTAAATCATAGCAAGTCACATTATTTCTTGACACGTGGTATAGTATCTTAACTCAATGAATATTCATTAGAATTTACAGTCATCTATTCTTTATCTCACTGCATTAAACATCCTCTTTTTTTTTTCCACAAGACCTGGTGGGAAACAAGATCACCTGCTTTTTCTGTTGGCTAAAATCATGGACAGATTATATACAGTATTGCATTAACAGAAACAAATCATTAACAAAGGACTGATTGTAGACAAAAGTCCTACAGTTGCTGCAGCTGCATTTTGTTCTCTTAATGGGATGAGTTTCCAAAATATAATTTCAAAACAAGCTTATAGACCAACATTACAATGATGCTATGTTATGGCAAAAAGAAATGCCTGTTTTTGTTGTGGCAGAAGGATCTTACACTGAAGAGAATTAATTGTCAAAAATTTGTCAGCCCTACTCAGTTTAGTGAGCTTCGGCAATCTTGTTGAATTATGTTGCAAAAGAGGTTGGGTTTGGGGGAAACAACAGCTTCAGCAACTGATAAATTACAGACTAAGCATATAATTTGTGCCTCCTTTGACTTTCCAGTTTTATCACGATGTATAGCAAATAGAACTTGGACTGACTTCAGATGTTTGCTATTCAGAGAATTTCCTAATGATCTATCATTTGTGGGCACGTCTTCCCAACTTGCTAAGGTCAGTACACCTGAGGAAAGAAAAAAATGACAGGAGCTGTAGTTAAAGGTGAAAACTTTTGGCCTGAAGCTGCAGAAAGTTTCATTTGAGAGCCATCTATATAAATGCAAAAAAAGACATGCAGCCTGATTATTCCTGCACACTTGACAGTGACTAGAGGCAAGGAGGCCTTCAGGTACGTAGTGAATAATAAATGACCCTTCATGGTGTGTGTCAAAGGAATGGAAAGAGCAGCATATCAATTCATGTACATTTTTTAGTAATAACATGAGGCTTTGTGCCTACTGAGATCTTGGCATACAGCATCTACTGAAAGTATGGAAAATTATAGTTCCAACACCTAGAAGATGCTCATGCATTTTTTTTTGTAGTGTCCTCACATTATCACCAATTTTTTTCACTGAAAATGAAAGAAATCAGATTAAATTTTTTTTTATTAAAAAAAAGAAAGAACTGCATTGCTTCTAAACAGTATGAAAAGTTGTAATTAGACCCTATGGTACATACCCTAAGTAGGTTACTGTTGCTGCTCTGTATCCTGCTCCATTGGAATCAAAAGAATTTCTTTTAAAACTAACATCTGTCAGTCATGCAGAGTGACTGGTGCAGTAGACACTCAAGCAGGGAACAGTACAGTAGTTAGATGTCACAAGTAGATGAACACGTGTGGAACTTGTAGAGAAAGAACTAATTAGCGTTCCTTCTTCCTTAAAGCATTGATGGTAAGCAAGCAGATCACATCTTCACCTCACATTTTCTCTCAAAGAGCTACTTCCACTAGCTTTTTACATCAGTATTATGCAACACTTAGGGTATTCAAGTGAAAACACTTATTCCACATGGTTTCTGATTCCTGACAACTGGTAAGGTAAGTCTCCATGCTCCCTCCCCATTCTACACTTTTAAATACCTCTGGTTTGGAAGGGAGACATGTTCTTGACCTTAATGTCTTGAAGATGATTTGAATATGAGACAAATTAGTGCTAAATAACAGACATTGTGATGACTGTATTTAGGTAGTAAAAAATTTTGATCTTTCAGCTAAATGCGTTAATTCAATATTAACCTAGCAAGTCTGAAGCTGTTGGGAAAAAAACCTTGATTGAACTAGACTGAAAAAAGGTTACCAAAAAAACAAACAACACTTCAAACAAAGTGTCGTATCTCCTCATGGATAGACTAGGTAGGCTAGACAACTCAAAACCATAAACAAAATAAACTGGAAGCAAGGGAGAGAACAGAAAGCAACTTGACTGAGCTCAGAAGATTGTAGTCATCACTTTAAAAGCAACAAAATAATCCCTTTTCATTCTGTGCTGTCATTTTAGCTCTCTCAAACTAAAGATTTACACATGTATTTCTTCTCATAGGGATTGATTTGCTGTTTCAGCATGGTCAATTAAAAGTGTGCTTTACAAATTAAGCAATTTTACAGAAAATAACAAAATACTGAAGACCTGCCATTTAATTGCAGCAAATTCCATTTTCCTAGTCATCTTTGATGATGGAAGAGCCTCCTAGCAGCAATCTGTACTAGCCATCACAGCAGAGTCCATCAGCTCTATCACAGCATTCTAGGCAGCAGTGGTACCCACTTGTGATTACTTACTAAATGTTCTCAAGTGCTTTGAGTAAATACTCTTTTCCTATATAGGATCTGCTAGTTTTTCTTACTTTTATTTTTTTGCCCCCTCTGTGCACATGGGAAGAGAGAGTTCCACACTGGACAATACAGAAAATGTAATGTTCAAATATAATTCCTCCATCACCACTCTACACCCTTTCAGCTACATCTGTCCCACAAGACAAAATATAACCACTGTATCAACCTATTTTGTATCTTTGCTATCTAAGTGCTAGACTGCAGCTTTGTATTGTTTCTCTTCAAGACAGATGAAACTACCCAGGGGCACTTTGTTGATGTGACAGCTGCTTGAAAAACCTTAGATCAATGTTTCAGACACTATAGACAGGGAAGTAACTTCTTAGATGCATCTTGTCCCTTCAATATTACAGTCAACAGTGGCCCCTGCCAAGTGACATACAACACCAAAGTTACTGCTAACAAAAAAAAATCCCTAGGGAAGACTTCAAGACAATCTGAAATCATTTTGGTTCTGAAAGACTATTTTATCCTCTGATAAACAAGAGAAACCTCAGTACCAGCAGAAGCAGAGCCCCAGCACCCACCTCTTTCCACAAAAGATGACACTCCATTAAATGCACATGAAATATACATGACCATTCAAATTAAAGATAAGGAAAAATGCATGTACATTTATGTTTGCGAGAAGTGATTCATGCTGCCATCTACCTCTCTTAAAAAGAACTGATGTGAAAATAACAAAAAGGGTCTTCTGGATATAGTCAATCTCCAAATACCTACTCTTTGCTGCAGGGTCAAGAAGCAGAGAAGATACAATAAATATTCTGGGACAGCTATAAAATCCAAAGCATGTAGGAAAACACCTTTAATATAATCTTTAACGTTTTAATCAATGTATTTTATACATGAATACATACCTTAGAAATCTAGAGGTTTCCTCATAGAAAAATAAAACAAAAACCAACCACACATTCAAATGGCTAAAATTTAGCCAAACATTCTTTTACAAAAGCGATCTTTCACCTACCTATGGCCCAACAAAATTCAAGAAATAGAACATATGCTACATATGTTTGTTTTTCCAAGGAAAAAACAATATAAGTACATTGGGAATGACACAAATAATGATCCTGTACTACTTGTTCACTGTACTGGTTCACAACCATATGCCATATGAATAAATGCATCAAATTCTGGTGTAAACAATGGTATCACAACAAAGAATAATACCCATATATACTGATATCTATTTGTATTCTACTAATTTGCTCAGAGGCTGTAATAATATTCATTTTCCTTAACAATAAATTTATATCACAAATATATATGAAGAAACTCATTTTAAATGGATTTCTACCTCATTAAGTTCTTCTTAATGAGTCTGGGGATAGAGCTTTAGAATAAATGAACAGAAGGTATTTTAAATAAAATCAGTTGAGTTTAAATAAAAATAGCTCATACTTAACAATACCCTACAGCTAACAGAAATGAGCTAGTTTACCCGCTAGCCACCTAGTGTGATTTCATCAATTTATAAAGGTTTGCTTTTGAAAGAGCAACCTCACAGAACACTAATGCAAAAGAGCATATTTTAATACAACTTCTGTGCAACAATGGCTATTAATGAGAATATATTGCCCCTTGCTGTGCAACGGTTAACTGCACTAAGCTTGTTTGATGACTATGGCCAAATAATAAAATTTAGTTTCTTACTACACTGATCAATCTTTTTTTTTTTTTTAAATGTGGTTCTGAAAATGAAATCTTAGGGCTTTCACAGGAGCTCTGAGAAGCTGAATTCTGCCCCAGCCCATGCTACCTCATGTCAGAGCTCACAAGAGGGGGCAAAAGTCATCTACTCAGTGAGTTGGGACACAGAGTCAGAAACCTGACTGATCACAGAAGCAACAGCTGCAATAGTTTAACTTTTCTTCAGATCTTAAATTCGATCCCTGGCTATACAAGTGTCCTTTGTTTAGCTGTGTTATTTGTTTTTCCCTCTGCTTCCAAACAGTGTCACTGAGAAGAAAAACCTCTGACGTGAAACCTCAGTAAGCGGAATCCAAGCGCTGCCAGTTTGTAATGCAGCAACGAGCAGTCAGTCCTTCCACTGCTCATTACCGGGCTTTAGCTTTCATGCAGAAACCAAACAGTACGCTATTCCACAGCACCTAACACTTCCCCACGAGAAGGTGAGCTAAGCAGCATTTTTCTCATCCAAACAAGCCAACCAACCTACCAGCTTCCAGGTAGCAGTAAGGTTGTTTGTTTTTTTTTTTAAATACCAGCTGTTAAAACGCTTTCTGTCCTAAAGCCACAGCCCTTGCGTGGTTACCTGCTTCTCCTCAGAGAACACTGCCGGACCAGAGGTCCTCACACACAGCAATGAGGCGGCACGTAGGCGCTGGGCAAAACGCCCCAGCCGAGAGCCTGATCGCCTCACTGCAGCCACGGCTCTCGCTAACCCGGAAAAGCAACGCGCACCGCACCGTGACCCCGCCGCCGCCCCGCCCAGCTCCGCGCCCGCCCTCACGCCGCTCCCTGCCGCGCGCTCTCCGTCCCATGGCGGCGGCGCGGCCGGTGCTGGCTCGGGCCTTACTGCAGCAGTGCCTGTTCGCTCGGCTGCAGGTGAAGCCGCCGGAGCGCGGTGCGGAGGCCGAGTGGGAAGAGGTAACGTCCAGCGCGGCCGCCCCGCTCGGCGCGGTCTCGTCCCCTCCCGTAGCGGCGGGGCGGGCACGGCTGGGGGCGCAGGGCAGAGCCTGGGGCCGCGTGGCTGCGCTCCGTCGGGCTCTGCGGATGGTACAGCAAAGGGACGGCACTGCCCGCTGATTCTTACCGCACATGGGAAGTCCGATACGTCGTCCTCGTGGTGACTCCCGTCAGGCTTCACGACATCTGCCCTTTAGCGTCTGCAAAATCTGTCATTAGTTCCCGCTTACATTCATTCTTTAAGAATTTTCAGTGGTTTTTTCAGCTTGCCTGGGCGATAGGCGCACAGCTGCTGCCCCTCCCTGCGGGGTGAGGGGAGAAGCGGCGGGTCAGAACGGAGGGAGGTCGCTGCCGGTTACCGTCGCGGGCAAAACAGCTTTCACTTGGAGAATTGTTAACGTTAATTTATTCCCAGTTAAATGCTTACTTAGTTTGGGTATTGAAAGGAAAAAAATACCTAAACGCATGGGAAAGATAGTCCTCCTTCTTTGGAGGGCTGAGCTTCAAGCACTGGCCGTGATCTGCACTCCTGAGTGCAGCCCTGCCCCCGTGCTGTCACCCAGGTCACGCTGCTGAGACTGGGGTACAGGAGACTGTAATCCACACACTGCTTATCTCCTGCTCCTCCTCTTTTCCTGCCTACCAGAGCAAGCCCTACCAGGCTACAGGCCCTGTAGCAGAATAACAGCTTCTCCACAGCATACCTTCTTCTCCTTCCATGTTCTCTCTCTGGAGCTTTCTGCCCTCTCCTAAATATGCTTTCACAGGGGTGCCACAGGTGCTGGCTATCTGTTAAACTACCCAAACAGAGGCACAGGTTTTGGTTTTTACATATAACGAGTCAATCTGTTAGAAGGCTGTTATGCTGTGTAGTTCTCTTACTTGAAGATTTAAATATCTTAACCAAAATCGTTGGAAAAGTAGTAGATAACACTGAGGAAATCACCATGAGGTTTGTCCAATGTGAGCAGCAGGCATTTTTCAGGTATGAAACTTAATTGGTCCTTACGAATCTTTTCTGGATATCAGGGCTTGTAAAGGGAAATCTGTTGTAACAAGAGCTAGTCACCCTGCAGAAAAAAAAACCAAAAAACAAACAAACAAAAAACCCCCAACCCTGTAGAAATTTCATGGTTTCTTTAGTCTTTAATGGCTTTCATTAGAGGTCATTAAAAGGCATCACTGCTTCTGATGCTTTCTTGTAGGATAATGCTACTCTGTATAAGTGTACCAATGAAAAATAAAGAAATATAGGCCTAATAAACTATTATTTATGTAAATCAGTGTGTTTGTAGTGACCTGTAGCAGCTAAAAAGTAGGTCCTCACCTTGAGAAACTTCTAGTGAGCCATAAATAGTGCATTATGTAGGTGGCTTTGAAGAGCTTCTGAGCTTTAAGAGACCCCTGCAGGTACTTTGGGAACTCTGGAGTGGATGTTCTTTATCAGGAAAAAGGCTAGAAATGTACTTTTTATATGAGTCACTACTCTTCATTATGTTTTCATATCTGCAGCTTTATGACCTTTTGAGGATTACTAAGTCTTGTTTATGCAGAAATGTTGGTGAGATAGGATCCATTAAAAGTTTCTGTATATTCAAAATACTTTGGAGGGAAAAAAAGGATCTCTGTTTAAATCTAGGGGTAAATACAGTGAGATTTGGTATTTCAAACTATAGGAGAAAAGAAATATAAAATGAATATTCATCTAAAAAGTGTAAGTATATACACTTAATGCAATGAAAACTTTCTCACCCATACCTTATTTCCCTTGATTTATCTTCTGGTTAAGATACCAAATGGGGTAAAAAAAATACCTGGTACGGGTTGTTCTGTGACCCATGGTAGATTATGGAATTTCTCTTTGATGCAGCGGAATGAATGAAACACGAATAATGCTTCTCACTGTTCAGTGAGCCTGAATGAAGATGTCAAAGAATAATTCATGTAAGTTAGTTCCACAAACTTGCTTCCTACGGATTACAAAGCATCTCTGTTTTCATTATCAGCTACATTACATTTTTCAGAAAAAAAACCATGCTGAGATAACATTTTGTGAAATATATTTAGGTTTTGCTAATGAAATCCTGCATAGTTCAGGTGAATGTATTTTGTAAAGAGGGTAAGGGGAGGACTTAGTTGTTTATCCTGCAGAGGAGCTAAAAAGCAATGTTTAGAGGCAGTGGAGCTAAGGCTTGCTGCATGGCCTGAGGGACTGGGTACTTCAGCCCTTCGTGATGCAGGTTTGCCTGCTCTGATGATTGCTTAGGACAGTTGTACAAAAAAAGCCAGTGTTGCAGAGTAACTTGATTCTCTGCTTTATTTATGTAGGCTTTTTACTGATAACAGGAAATCCACACAGCACAGCTGCCTGCCTTTCACTACGTAAGTTCTTTCCACTTTCCAGTAACTGTTTGCTTGTCAGCATTTTGCATTTGGAACTTCCTTATTTGTGTTATTTTGCTTGATGTTTCCTGGGCTAAATGTTGCTCTGAACAGCTAGGACACCTGGAATACCTGTGTAAGACCTGAGGACTGACATGCATTACTACTAGGGTAACTCCTTAAATTCAGTTTTAAGTCTCCCACTCAGTTAAGAAAATTGAAAAAAAAAAAAAAAAATATATATATATATATATATATGTATATGTATGTATATGTATATATATATAACAGGTTGGGGCTGAAACATGATAGAACGTGTTAAAAATAAGTGTTCAAATATAGTTCTCAGTCACAGTTGAAACCGTGAGTTTCAACTTGTGAACACTGGATAGTTTCCGTAACATAGTTTCTAAACGTTCTAGAAGATAATAAGCATATAATATAAACATTCTCACTCAGCATTAACTTGCCTCTGAATTCAGATTTTTTCTTTTCATATTTGATTGCTGTGAGACATTGTATGGTAACTGTTGAGTCATGAGGTGAAGGCAATTCACCTGTGTGACTGGAAGCAGTGGAGCCTGGCTACAACTCTCTTAGACCCCATTTAAGGGCTGACTGCCTCTGGGGAAGGGTCTCTGTTTGGAGATTTCTCTTTGGTGAAGTCCTTCCTATGAGCCTGGGCCTTTCCAGATGGGTGAGCACCTTTTCTTTTGTAATACTGTTTCATTTACAATAGTCTCTTTGCTGTTCCGTTCCTGTATTGCCCTTCCACTATGTTGATCTTTCTGAGTGAAACAGATGCTGAAGCCAATACGTTAAAAATTTTGTAATGGAAAAAGTGTATTCCAAATTAAATGTCAAATCATGAGAGAGGCTGAAAAATAATGTTATTTAATGTGATAGCTAATAATAATCATTTTTAGTTATCTGGTCTTAAAGTCTTAAGTGTTTATTTCCTTTCTTGTCTGTTTAAATGAGCTTCCTGCAGAGTATTGTTACTTCCATATGTGAAACTATTCAAAGACTTTCACAAGTCTCAGGATTGGAGTAGTTATCTGTGAGATGTGTGATATAGTGTAATTGCTTCTTTCTAAGTTAGTGTTTGTATACATGCAGTGTAAATGTGCTTGACCTACTTAATAATTTTTTATTAATGCGTATGTGTGCATTAGTCTTTATTAACGTCCTGATGCTAGTCTGGTTCTGGAACTAATATTTAGCTAAGCAAGTAAGACTGTCTATCCTTTGGCAGCTTTTCTTTCTTTCTGTCATTTGAATAGAGTTTGAAATGCCATTTAAGGTTTAGGGCATCAAATTTATTACAGTGTTATGAAATATGACAATCATTTGGGAATGGAAACCTGCATTATATTTTACGGTGGTCAAAATGAGTTTTGTAAGGAGCAGTTCATTCTTCTGAAAGAATCTCAGCATGTGACATTTTGGCTGTGAGGAGCATTCTCTTTTTCCATAAATGAATTACTAGAAAATAATTACAACGGTATAGCTCTCCTTAGTTATTGCATTGAGTGTTTTGTTTAGTCTCCACAGTAACAAAAGAATGAAATCTTGTGTGTATAGTTGTTTTCTTTACTAAAAGCCTCTATCTTTTAAAGAAAAGAATGAGTAAAAAAGGAAAGGAAAAGACAAAGGGTTGTGGTTTGGGTTTTTTTGTTGTTGTTTATTTTAAGAAATATTCATATTTCTTATCTTTTTGTTTTTATAACATTGAAAGTAATGAATCCTTCCTGCTCCAATCTAATTAGCATCTCTTTGGTACCATTTCATATTTTCCTTCTAACAGGGATATAAGGGTAATTATTCTTGACAAAACAGCAGTGAGAGTGTAGGATTTTCTTGTTATTGTCAAGCTGTGTATGCCTTCTGTTTTTTCCCAAAGAGGTTAAACCATTGACATATACTTGAACATGAAACAGCATTCTTGTTGGTTGTGTAGCCAAATAGCTTTATTTTCCTTATAAAGCCCAGGTTGTTGCAGATGTATTCTTTGTGAACTAAGCCAGAGAGGAAAAAAAACTTATAAAGAAATTGCTTTATGCTTTCTTGTTACTACGGACCTAATCGTTTTCTCAAATAGACAGTTCTTTCTAGTGGTCTCTTGCTAAAGAGCTGGCTATCCTTTACCCTACACAAATCAAGGGAGAAGTCACATTTTGTCAAAAAGGTTTCACTGATGGAAAGGTTGAACTGATGGATAATATTTTTGTTAACTTTATAGTATTCTGAATAACTTCATAATTGTTGGTGATCATATTCAAATTGGTTGTCACATCTAGATATTTAATTAACTGTTTTGTTAGAATTATCCTTCACTAGTTTATTTTTAACATCAAATATAATTCAGTTCACTGACAAATCCCATGGTATTTGACATATTTCATAGTTGTAAATAAATCCATGTTTCATACTGTAAATTATTTTATCTGTAATAACAGTAATACTGTACATTGTATGTTACAACTAAGTGTGGCTTTGCATGCAGCTAACAAATTGCATGGTAGCAGCAGGTAATCAGTTTATATCTCACAAACTTCCATAAGTAAATTTGAAATCTGAAACTATAGGGAATAAGTAAAACTAATCTTGGGAATTTTGTCATTGTAGTTTTGTCACTTTCTGTATCAGTTCTAAGGATAAACCCGCATGGTGGACAGCGAGAAAGATTGATATAGTTTTCTCTAATCTTTTGTAGATCCAGAGAGGACTTGTTATCTACATATGCTTCTTCAAAGGTGCTGATGAGGATCTTATTCCAAAAATTGGTATGATATAATCCGTATGAATTCTTGTATTGTTTCAAAAAGAATTAAGTGGTAGTGGCAGAGAAGGCAAAAAATCATCAAATAGCATCATTCCCAACTAATCAGATCGCTGAAAGAACAGCTTGATTAGTTCTGTTTCATTTGACAGCTGTCCGTATCTCTTCTGTCAGTTCATGATTCACCTGTTACAAGGTCTGTTGACATTGAAAGTTCATGATGAAAACACCCTAGGAAACAAAGTGCTGCACCTATTAATGGACATATTACAAGTATCAAGCAACATCTTCAGTCAAGGACAGAATTGAACTTAGCGAAGATGGTTTGCAGATAATTCATGGCTTTATTTAAGAAGCATTTTAATTTTTATCTCCCTACATGTGCTGGATGTTTAAAATTATAGCCAGTAGAGGGAGTTGGGTGGATAACTAACCAGCGTCCTTCCCATCTCATACTACATACTGTTAGTCTTTCTGAATCAGAAGAGGTAACAGCAATATCTGTAGTTCACTTGCTCTTCTCCACATGCATTTTTAACACTTACATTCAAGTGGAACTGATGCTCTGAATAGGGTCAAATTCTAGTGATTTCTGTCTGCCTTCTTCTAGAGTAGTTTTAGCTTTTGTTATTGTGGTTGGCTGCTTGCTTTGTTTTGTTAGATTTTTTTTTACTTTTATTTAATTTCTTGTGCCTCTTTTCCTCTATCACTAGCAGTGGATCATTTGGGGAATTCAGCAATGTGTGTTCCACATAAAAGTGTCCCGTTTCTGCGGGTTGCTGATAGTGGTAGTTTCACTAAAGGTCATGTAACAATAGCC